CTTTAGGCATGATGGTGAATAAGATAGAAGGTCTTCCGATTTCGACCCGGTAGCATTTTGTAGAGGCCTTTTTTATTCGTTCATTAATCCTTTCGCTGGGAGTCTTCTCATCCATCCATCTATTCCCCTCCCCGCGTCTCCTTATACTCCCTCTATCTCTCCACTTCGATTTATTCTCACGCTTCAATGTTACTTTTCCATCTTTGAGATCTAATTGACATCTTCAGAACCCATGAGTTTCACTGTCGTAAGGGACTTTTTTGACCATTGGCCCTTCTTTTCCTTCATTCCCGTCTTCTTGTTTTTTGTTTCTAGACAAGGTCCGATGTCTGGGTCGGGTGACTACGCCTCAGGATCAAAGGTTAGTCTCTATTCATTCTTTATCGTCTTTTTTGGGGGGGGATAAAGAATGCTAGGATTGGGGGTAAGGCCTGCACCCACCCAGTCATTCCGATTGCCTAGACGTGAGGGTATTGTGGCGAATTCACTCGGAACCGTCTACCCACTCCGATCTCTGGTTTGATTGACGGTCATTAGCTACATTTCCACATCTGATGGTAAATAGAGAGGGGGAAGACATCCGCTGTTGTTTGCCTGCTTGTCTGCTGTCATGTGTTTTTCCTGTTCATTTTCGGCTGAACAAATCTACATACACACACACACACCCGATTGTTTCACTCCCGTTGTTCACTTTTCCTTATCTCTCGTCCTTTCTTTTGCATTTTCTCCTCACCCTAGTACCCATTCCAACAGCGCTTGCTTTATGGATATGGCGAAGAAGAAGGCGAATTGTGCATTTACTGATTTTACGGAGGTGGAGGCAGTCCCTCCTATTACCGTCACCTCGCACGTACACACAAACATTCACTCTCACTGACTAACTGATTGTGCAGGCGCTGGCTCTTTTGATTGTGCACAACTAAAACGATGACTCTTTTTGGAGCTCTTTTTGTCAGAGCTTAGCTAAGATTTTACCAGATGTTGACGAAGCATGGATGGAGGAGCCACATAGGATCCGAATCTGCGATCTGACGTGGGCTACAGTCAGCCTTAATTTGTCTTGTTGGGAGAGCTTTCCTTTACACTCCCACGGGTTGGTGTCAGCTACGCCTACACTCACTCACACTTCCACACCATAGACCTATCTCGGTGTTTAAGTTGGCGTCCGGGAAGTGAAAGAATTCGTCAACATAATTGGATCATTCCAGGCCAGCTTGTCTATTATCTTGTTAACTGGCGTCATCTAACACCTCGAGATGGCAAGTGTTTGTAAATGATTGTGATCTTCCCCCTCCTGGATCTTAATAGGCTGCGCGTCGGATTATCTGAGATCCGAGGCTCGTTCTATGTACCAACTAAATCTCCGCAGGAATGAGTACCATGGCGGTGGGCTGCGAACCGCACTAATCGGGCAGCATTCCTCTTCGTACCCCTTAAACTCGAAGTCCCTCGTGCATTGAGTTTCGCACTGAAAAAGAAGTTTACGTTTTTAGGCTCTCCTGTCATATTGAAATGTCCTTCCCCTAAGACTATTGAACTGTTGAAGCTCTAGTCTCCGGTAGATTTTAAAACCGCCAATTCATCCTTCCACTCTCGCCTCCTACCACATCATAGACGGCAGATCGTGGAGACGAATTCTCTCTGCGTTCCTCTGTTGGAGAGAATTGGGCACGAAGACAGAGCTTCTACACTTCTCCTTCACATTCTTCCTCATCTTCATCACTTCGTTCTTCGATTTCCTCTACTTCACACAGATCTGAGGTACTTTCATCCAGACTAATTGCACCAAGCTTGATTTCTGCTGCTACTGCTCCTGCTATCACAATCGACGAATGGCACTGCCGATGCTCTGATTCCTGTTGATTTTTAGCCTTTTGTTTACGCTAGAAACCGGTTCCATGTATCCATACGCAAACGTCACTTGGATAACTGTTCAGTGTTTGTGATCCAAGTAGCTTGCCAAAATTCTCTGGAATTACCCGAGTTTGTGGGTAGTGATGGAATAGGGACGTCTTGATTACTTTCAGCACTTTGGATGAGTCTACCAACTGCCAAGCCCTCGTTGATCCCTAGTCTGAGTAGGTTATTTCACCACACCCACAAACGCCATTAGTTGAAGGATCTGCCAATTTCTCGGTCGAATCTCCTTACCGGAAGGATTTTTTAATTCATCGAAGACACTATAGCCTGAAATGCCCTCTAAATCTTGGAAACGTCTTCATAACCATCAGTGTTAGCTTAAATCGAACAGGTCACCTTCAGCATTGAGGATATGATAAGTGATTATTTACTTTTCCTTTTCTCATTTGATGGCAGTCATAACCGGTCTTTAAGAGTCGCTGTTTTCACCCCCACTTTCCTCGTCAATTTTTGCAGGCCCATGTGATGGATGGCCGGGTGTAACCAGATGTTCAATTCCTGGTTCATTTCAGTAGTGTCCACGTTGTCATCCTACCTTAACTAAGATTGATGATACATTCGTCTAGGGGATCTGCGGTTGTAGCATATAACACTTAAAACAGGAGGCCTGGAGTTAAACCTGAGTGTTTTCTTTGGGCTTTTGTATAGAGGTGGACAATGGGAGGGTGTTACGTTAGAATAACAAGTACTCGAGTTTCCTCTGTAACCTCGTAGTAGGCAGCGTTGCGGAGATAGCCGATCGGCTGTCATATTCATCATTCTTTTTGCTGTCTCAACACCAAAACGACATGGTAAATCGCCTATTCACTACGTTGAATAGCGCCTTTCATATTCGAGCAGCCTCATGTCTGAATTCGTGCCTTCTTTTGGTGCCCACGGTTTTTTTCTCCTCTTTGCTTCTTTTTTTTATTGCCCCATCATCCCAGAGGAAAAGACTGGCGTCCGACTCACAACCCTGACAGCTAACATAGTGGATGAGATTTAACAGGCAGAATGAAGTGTTTGCCTCTCCCTTCCCACTTCTTTTTTTGCCCCCTTTTCCCCATGTTTTCATTTGGGCAGAAAAGACTCACTACTGCTTTCAGTGTCCGGGCTGCCTCTACGAATTCCGAGAAGGGGCTGAAAATTTTGCTGTTTTTCTATTGGCTGGCAAGAATTGTCCCTTTCTGTGTGTGTGTTTCTGGTGGGTTAGAGCTGAGATGGTTTTTTCTTTCCAAAACCTCTCATTACTTTTTGAGCTCTTGATTCCACTTTTGATGCCTTTTTCTTATTACGTAGTCCTGGTCACAATGGTTCTTTCTTTTGTAAATGAAAATGTTATTTTTCTGTTCTGCCATCCGATTATTCCGGTCTTTTTTGTCAGTGCTACTAGGCGACGTGGTCCTCATGATGTTATACAGACTGCTAAAATCATGGTCGTTGTCTTGTAAAAAATTAAAGCCCTTTTTTTGCCTACTTACCTCCTATCCTCGTCTCGGGAATCCAAGCTGCTTTATCGCGTTTTTCTTGGCTCCAGATGGCGTGTTTTTATTCGTCTTCCGCTTGACTTCATTTTGCGACGTGGCGGCTCAATTACGGCTTCAAGTGGGTTTGAATAATGTCATTGCTTCTTCCCCCTTGCTCCTCTCTCCTCAAAACATGTGGAATTCATAGTCTGTTTGTTATCTTTTATGTAAGTAGCTGAACTTACTGGCTTAGGTAGTAGCATTAAACCCTTTTCGGGCGATAAATTTGCGCTCCTTTTCATAGATTAGCGAAGTACCCCTATGCGAGCTCCGCTAGGCTAGGTCGTGCAACTCCTGATCTAGGTAGAAGCTTCCACGAAGGCATTCGACCTCGGGTCTCTGGGGTGGCGTTTGGTTTTTTTACTTTTTCCGATCTCTTGAGAATCGACCATGTTTGCTGCTTCTGTAGGAGTGCGGAGCAGACGAGCCGTCTCCTTTTCCATCCTGATTAGGGTGCGCCAAATTAACTACTGTTTACCAGCCCAAGGAAGTGGTTTTTGCTATTATCTGGAAAGTCACGGGAATTCTCGATGCCTTTAAAACCATTCACGATGCTGTTTAAGTGTCTGTAGTGGTCGGTAGTAAATACGGTGCTCCTCCCTTCTGTCTACAACCGCCACCAGCTCACTTCACCTCATCCACTTCCATCTTGGTTACTTGCGTCACGTGACTTAATGGCTGACCTGCCTGTCAGACGGCAATAAAACGCCACATTCATGCCACCACATGTGTGGAAGTAACTCGACCATGAATTCTACCATTAACATAGACAAAGTGATTCATCTTAATTATTTCTTCGGCTTTGTACATTGCGCAGTTGCATACCCACTTAACCACCAGTCGTTCATCCAACTGCTTCGTTTGCGTTGTTGATTCGAGCGTAACTGCGTTTGTCTGCGCCGTCACAGTCTTTCTCCGCCATCGTGTCGACCTTTCTTATTCAATTATGCCACGCTCTCTCCGGGGTCATTTCGTCGTTAGCAGGAGCGGGGGGGAGAAGCGGACAGAGGGGCGTTAGTCGACTGTTGCTATGACCGCGAATGTAAGTCTAGTAGCTCATCTGTATCCAAACACAGAGATTTTTTAAAGATTTTCTTATACGGAGACCTTTCCTTTCTTGTTCACTTCGGACGTCTGTAAACCTGACGGGGCGCATCCATAGCGCTTAGGACTTCTAACCAGTGGATGATTGTTCTCAGCGGTTCTGGTCCTTGCCTCTCCCGAATGCCTACAAGGCGGACAGTGGGCGTTTGACAACCCGAAAGAGATCAGTCCTCATGTAATCAAAGAGCTGCTTGACTTCCACCTCGAAGCCTCGGTTCTACAGCACCTAGTGAAACAAGCTTTTTTCGTTGGCTTTTTGTTTTACTACGAGGTCTGGAAGTACATAAGTCGTTTGAGGTTAGCATTGTTTGTAGGTCAGGGGATGTTGAAAGGACATTTCCTCTGTTTATTGCATCAAATTGAGTTTTAAAAAAAAACACTCGGGATGCTTGAATCTTGTGAATCCCTCAACATCGAGATAATGCGCACTCCTGTAGTAAAGGGGGAGATTTTGGGCCTGTTTTATGATAAAGATAAATCGCGTCTTTTTCCTCCCACAGCTGATAGTGAAAAATGAGGTTCCGTAGACACTGGGGAATATTTTTCACTCCAAAATACAGATGGGCAAGTAGTTCCCCCTCCTTTATTTGTAGAAAAGGCGATTCTGAAGGTCATTTGGGATCTGAAGAGGTTATTGGGACACTGATGTTGATCTGAATCGTCCATGATTCCCCAACTAAGCCACCTCGACTTCACCCACCCACACTGCATCCGTTTGTCTCTCCATCACCTAGTAGCCATTTTCAGGGTAGGCTTGTGGAAATAAATAGGCGTACGGTTGGACAATAGCATTTCTTCGTGGAGATAACTTGGAAGTGTCACCTTGTTTCCC